ATGTGCCCTGACCAGAAATCAAATCGGTGACCTCTTTGTTCATGGGTCAACATTCAACTACTGAGCCACACTGGCTGGGCTAAAGACAGCCAGCCTTTTAATTAGCATTGTAAAAAAATTTTTCTATGAAAAAAATTTAAAACTATGAAATGAAATAAAAATAACTGTAAAAGTCACTTTTTAAAATCTTGTACATATCCAGTTAGTCCTTTGTGAACTTATAAACTTTTACAAAATTGGAATTATATTTTAAAGCTTTCTTCACACTTAATATATCTATTGATAAAATTTCCTCCATTGTTTTTAGAAACTGAATACGGTTCTGCTGTATGGATGTAGCTTATTTAACCAATATTCTAGGAAACAATGCAGTAATGAACACTTTTGCAATAAAATTGTTACACATATCCTTATGCTACATTTCCTTTAGAGTAATTGACCTGTCAAATGCATATGCTCAAGGCTTTTGATACATATTGTTAAGCTATACTCTAGAAATTTGCCAATTTATACTCTCAGTAGTATAAGAAAGCGTTTCTCTGAACCCTTACCAGTATCATCAAGATTTAATCACTTATTAAAATAACACCTGAAGACCAAATTAATGTGTAACATGTTACATCACTCATAAGTCTTACTATTAAACTTTTAGATTACTATTCAAAGCTTAAGATTCATATATTTTAGCTGAAGAATCTGAGGTCCAGTAAGTTATATAACAAACCAGAATGCTATTTTGTGGGTGTTTCTGCATAAGATATTTTGTAGTGCTCTTCCTGATTTGCTACTCTCTCGTCAATTATGCTTTTTCCTGGCCCCCTGCAATAACCTTATAGGTTTCCCAGGAAAAGGTACATATTTCCATTATCAAGGGCTGGAAGCTTGGCTTATTCTATTAGTTTAGCACTATTTTTCCTAGTTGTTTCCTAGCTTGAATTTCACATGTGTTGAAGAAAAACTTTCAACATATTAACTTTAAAACAGTTTACCTAATATTGGATAAGGATCTATTTCATTCATTCAACAGTTCACTTATTCCCAGTCTCATACATTCAACAGTACTTACCTAATGTCTTACCATGTGTGGGGGATAAAGCAGTGAATAAAACAAATGTAGTCCCTGCTCTCATAAAACTTAGTTTTAGTAGGGCGAAGGGAAACAATAAAGAGATAATGACAAATTACAAATGCTATTAAAATAGAGGGTCATGTGCGAGAAAGTAAGTGAAAAAAGGAGCTACTTTAGATATGGTGACCAAGGAAGAGTGTGAGAGATAATATCTGAGTTAAGACCTGAAGAATGAGAATGAGTTAGCCATAAAGACATAGAGAAAGCATATCTCAGGCAGAAATAAACAGTAAGTACAAAGGTCCTATGGAGTACCAGTTAAGTTGAACTGAGTACAGGAGACCCTAAATTGTAGCTTTACTGAAAGTTTACTTTTTTCTTTATGTCAAAATTAATATAAGGAGTATAGGGTTGGTATGGTACTCCACAAGGGTCTCAAGGCCTCAGGTTTCCGCCAGCTTAAGGCTTTGCCATCCCTATGATGTGGGAACCTGCACCTGGCCCAAACTGGCAGCTAGAGTTAAATGGTTCACACCTGTAGTCCAGGGTGCAGGATATAAAAGGAAAAGCAGCAAAGGACTGAAGGTGTGTAAGAGCTGTCTTTGAATATGACATACCTGCTTATTGGCCAGAACTACCACATGGCTGTAGGGAGGCTGGAAATAGGGTCTTTATTCTGGATAGCCATGTGCCCATGTCTCTTACTATGAAAAAAATGAGAAAATTTTAGGGGACAACCAACAGTCTCTGCTATAGACTGGAAAAAGCCCGATACGTGACAGAGACAGAAAGGAAGGGTGAGAGCAAGATGAAGTTGGAGAGGTAGGCAGAAGCCAGATTATACAGTTTTAAAGGCCATGGTAAGGAAAATGAATTTTATTCTAAGGGTAGCCATTGGAGGTTAAAATAAGGAAGTACCATAGCCTCATGAGCTTTTTAAAATGATCACTCTAGCAGGTATGTAGAGATGGTTTGAAGGGGCACAGGGAAAAGCAGAAGCAGATAATGTGGATATTGCTCTTTAAGAGATGTAGTGTCTTGGACAGGATGGTGGCATGAGAGGTGATGAGAAGTGGCTGAATTTAAATACATACAAGGAAGAGCTGATGGTACTGGATGATCAGCTGAGGTGAGGAATCAAATAATATTCCTAGTTTTATGCCTGAACAAGTGAGTGAACTGTTGGTAGTATTGTTTATGTAAGGGCAGTTTGAATCCAAATGTTTTTATTCATTTTTAGAGAGAGGAAAGGAGAAGGACAGAGAGAAACATTCATGAGAGAAACATTGAGATACATCCATCGGCTGCCTCCCTCCTGGGGATTGAGCCTGAAACCTGGACAGGGAATCAAGCTCGCAACCCCCTGTGCATGGGATGACAATCGAGCCACAGAAGACAATGAAGTACTTGTTAAATTTGAGATGCCTATCCTTTTTACCCCTTACCATGGTAAGATTTTCAGTACTGTCTACATCTTTCAAAAATGTGAGGACTCCCTTTCCTATAACTAGTTATTTACAAACTCATTTTCTTCCCCTAGTGAGGATTTTCCCCCTCACTTTAAACCAGAAATTTTCCCATAAGGTACGCAAGAAATTTATGTACACACATTTCAACACACAAAACACATACAAGGTGTGGACTTTTTTCAGTAAAAGCCATCAAAGTGAATAGTTAAAAACGCCATTTATCTACAAAATGAGAAGATTTGATCAATATTAGCAATAAAAATGGACTTTTTGATGCAATAGGACAATTTTAAAAAATATTCTATTTATAGTGCTTACTAGAAAACTATGAACATAGCTCTTAACAAATGTTAGCTCATTTAATATGTAGGACCAACCTCTCCTTTCTGGAAGTGACTTCTCCAATTTTACCAACTTTTATGCTATTTAAAATGTGTTTTGAGTAAATATGGGGATGTTAACAATAAGGTCCATCTTTTGGTCTTAACAAAGTCCTCTATATAAGCAAACTAATGGATAAACTGGTAATACTTGGTGCAACTATATAAATATATCTGTACTAGAGGCCCAGTGCATGACATTCATGCACTGGGGAGAGGGGGAGGGGAGTGTCCCTCAGCCCAGCCTGCACTCTCTCTCAGTCCGGGACCCCACAGGGGATGTCTGCCTGCTGGCTTAGGCCCACTCCCCACAGCTGGCAGCCAGACCTCCCCCAGGGGTCTTTAGCACTGCTGTGAAGGCCAGAGAGGCACCTGCCACGGCCACTGCCTTAACCAGCATGAGCCTGGCTTCTGGCTGAGTGGCAGTCCCCCTGTGGGAGCACACTGACCACGGGGGGCAGCTCCTGTGTTATCTGCCCCCTGGTGGTCAGTGCACATCATAGCGACCGGCAGTTCCGCAATTCGGTCAATTTGCATATTAGGTTTTTATTATATAGGATACACACACACACACATATATATATAAAACCATACCTCATTTTTATTATTCTAACTTATGATTCCAAATATCAAGTTATACTTTTATTAATAGGTTAAAATGCTCAGTAATATGACAAATGTACATACATGTACTTATATACATGTATGTATGACGTTCAGAGGCATATTCAGTTTTTTAACATGCCATCTTACAAAGCAGAAGGAAAAGTTCAAAAGGCAGGCAGAACTGTTGGGGAAGAGATAGGGAAGAATATAAAGTGTTCTTCCTCGACCTTTCCTAACATAAAAAAACACGGTGAAGCAGAAATGTTTAATGAAATGAATAACCATGTGAAACATTTTCCACTGGCCACATCACCATTTGGAGTTTAATTTACATAGTATCTAGTAATAGTTCAAAATACACTGCATTCCGTAAACAGGACAAAGACACCTTTTGTTTTATGCTTATGTATTTTTTGTTATTTAGGAGCGACAGATAACCCTTTGCCCTTCAGTGGTGTATTTTAAATTGGATTACTGTTAGTTTTTTGGAAGAAAAAGTTGATTTTACAAAAACAAACAAGAAAATTAGAAATTTTATTTACTCCGAATCAACTGCACGTAATTTACATTAATAAATTCCATCACTCAAATAGAAATAACAATTTTTCACAACCCCAAAACACTCGCATAGAGGTCTTTTTAAGCCCCAAATGTCCACTAGTAACAAAAAAGGAAGAGTTTATCAATATAAAAGGGAACTGACTGATTACTTCAAAGAAAACAAACTTAATTTCACTCTGAGTGGCAATTATTTTTCTGGGAAGCAGAGACTTTTCATTCTCCTTAAGTTTCCACCAAAGCCACCGTAACTTCCAACTGATATGCGCAGCCAGTCGTTAGCGGCGAGAGAAAATGCTATAAATTCAACAGCCTGCGCGAGTGCCCCCCCAAAGTGCTCTAAAAACCTACTCCCCAATATGTTCCCTCCCACCAAGTTAAAAAAAAAAAAAAGGAAGGAAGGGTGGTGAGTAGAAAATCGCGGCGGCTGGGCAGAGGGGCACTCACTTCTCCCAAGGCGAGGTGACGCGCTGCGGTCCC